AGAGACTCTGGGAGGGCAGTCTATGACCAAAACAAGTACAATGCAAAAGAAGGTGAACACATAGGAACAGAGATCCAGACAATGAGAAGTTCAGGTAGACTACAGGATAAAATAGACTGCACTAAATGGACAGAGAATTTAATGTGGAGGGAGGAAAAGACAAACAGGCAGTGAAGAACTGTGCACAGTTAGATTGGGGTTGGAGATGTCAGCAAACTCACAATTTAAATAAAGGTTTGTCTGTGTCCCTTAGCCCTGTGGACCAAAGGGCTCCAAGGCCTTAAATATTTTGGCAGCAGTGGCACACATAGTGTCAAGATCTTGGTTTCTAAATACCATTCTCCACTGGAAAGAACCAAGCTCTTCAGAGAACTGGTGAATCCTAGACCCCAGTGATCCACGAACATCGGTTAGAAAGGAAGAACGTGCTGAGTAACTAATGGGAGCATGTCGGAGAGAAACTAAAGTCAATTTGACCCCAAATCAGGAACATTGCAGGGGGCATCATTTTGACACCATATTGAAGCATATAATCCACTGTGGGGGGGAGAGGAGAGAAAGGTCTCTGCGTTTATACTGATATTACTAAAGAAATAATAATTTACATATGTAAATACAAGTACACACATGAGGGAAGAAAATATATGTTTCCTTTCAATAGAATGTCAAATAATAAATCTAGACAGAGTGGTGATGGTATTGGAAAATCACAGTGTTATAAACTTCGTAGTAAAAATCAGTGCAAGGAAGAATCATCAGTAGATGAAGAATAGGTGCCATCAAGTCAGTACCAACTCATAGTGATCCTATGCACAACAAAACGAAAAACTCCCCGGTCCTGGGCCAACCTCACAATTGTGTTACATTTGAGCCCATTGATGCTGCCACTTTGCCAATCCATCTCACTGGGGGTCTTCCTCTCTTTTTCTGACCCTCCACCTTACCAAACATAATACCCTTCTCCAGTGACTGGTCCCTCCTGACAATATGTCCAAAGTATGAGAGACGAAGTTTGGTCATCCTGGTCTACAAGGAGCACTCTAACTGCACTTCTTCCTACACAGATCTATTGGTTCTTTTGGCAGCCCATGATACTTTCAATATTCTTCAACACCATAACTCAAAAGCATCAATTCTTCTAGTTTTCTTTATTCATTGTCCAACTTCTGCATGCATATGAGGTTATCAAAAATACCATGGCTTGGGTCAGGCTCAGCTTAGTCCTCAAACTGCCATCTTTTGCTCTTCAGCACTTTAAAGTTCTTGTGCAGCAGATTTGCCCAATGCAATACATCTTTTGATTTCTTGACTGCTGCTTCCATGAGTGTTGATGTTGATCTAAGTCTTTGACAACTTCAATCTTATCTCTATTGTTAAGAATGTTGTTTATTATTCATTAGTGAGAATTTTTGTTTTCTTTACATTGAGATGCAATCCATATCAAAATATGGTCTTTGAGCTTTATCAGTAAGCATTGTAAGTCCTCTTCACTTTCAGCAAGCAAGCTTGTATCATCTGCATATCGCAGGTTGTTAATGAGTCTTCCTCCAATCCTGATGCCATGTTTTTCTTCATATAACCCAGCTTCTCAGATTATTTGCTCAGCATACAGGCTGGATAAGTATGGTGAAAGAACACAATCCTATCACACACCTTTCCTAATTTTAAACTATTCAGCATTCCCTTATTCTGTTTGAACACCTGCCTCTTGGTCTATGTACAGGTTTCCTCATGAGCACAATTAAGCATTCCAGAATACTCATTTTCCGCAATGTTGTCCATAGCTTATCATGAGCCACACAATCGAAAGCCTTTGCGTACTCAGTAAAGCACAGGTAAACATCTTTCTGGTATTCTCTTTTTTCAGCCAAGATCCATCGGACATCACCAATGATAGCTCTCGTTCCACGTCCTCTTCTGAATCCAGCTTGAACCTCTGGAAGTTCTCTGTCAATGTTTGGTTGCAGCCATTTCTGTATCACCTTTAGTAAAACTTTACTCGCATGGAATATTAATGATATTGTCTGATGATTTTCACATTCCATTGGGTCACCTCTCATTGGAATGGGCACAAATACTAATCATTTCCA